ATTATGTTCTTTATCAATATATAGTTCCTTCTTTTTGTGTCTTTCATCATCACTCAACTTTTCTTTATCAATACGACACATCATAAGTTCATGTACATTGTTACATATATCTTTTGAGCTTAGTTTAATACATATTTCAAGATTATCCAAAAATTTATCTTTAAAAGTATTCCTCAGTTTGTTGGACAAGACACCTAAACGTGCAACAATGAAAAATTAAAAATAATAAATAAATAAATAATATATATTAAAATGCTATTTGACAAAATAAATTATGTTCATTTATATGTATATACATATATATATATATATATATATATATATATATATATATATATGTTTCTCTTTTTACCTGATATTTCTCCCTTTTTGAAATAAAAAAATACAGATTTGTAATTCGGATCAGAACGTATTTTCATATTATCATATGATATAACTACTAATAATTTATGTTTAATGTTATAAAAATAAGAATAGAAGAAATTTATTAACAATGATCCTTTATATCCCCATGATGATAACTTTATTTTATTACATCCATTTGGTGATGTACACATTGTTATATCGTTAAGATTGTGTTCATATGTATTAAGAAAAAGATAACAATTGTTGATATATATATATGAATTAGTTTTTAAATAATTTATATTTATATTCTTTTTATCTTTTGTTATATTTAGATAATTATAATAATCATTATTCATATTTCTCTTTTTATTTTTCTTTTTTTTGTATTTTTGTTTATTTGATACATTATTTAACAAATTATATTTTATATTAAAAATATTAATTTCTTCATTCAATTCTTTGTCATATATTTTTTTTTTATTTATAGCTTTCATCATTGATATGATTTTCTTTTTTATTTCAATGTCAGGTATATCATCAAATTTTTTAATCATAACACTTATATCATTTTCTAACATATCTATATTATCTATCTGGTCTATATTATTAAATATAAGAATTGATAAATCTAAACATATTTCTATTAACTTCATCAATTTACAACCTATGTGTATATAATGTATATCAACATTATCCTCTTCTTTTATATTATTTAATATAACATAAAATTCAGATATAGTCATTGATATAATATGTCCTAAGGTAGTATAAAAGTGTATCATTTCATTTTTATATATTTTCCATAATTCAATAAAATTATCCACATTATTATTTAAATCAAGAATAAAAAAAAAAAAGGTTTTTTCAAAAATGTATAAACTATCATTATTATAAATATTTTCTTTTGAACATGTCTCTATTATTATATTTATATTATTAAAAAAAGAAGTATTATTTTTTATCTCATCTTTTAAATTTATACATTTAGCTATACAATAACGAATAAAATACATGCACTCATCAGCTAAATAAAACATCTTCTTATTAATAGAATTGATACATATCTCAAACAATCTTTCTATAATTATATATTTATAACTAAAATTAGATTCCATATCTATTTCTATTAAGTCATGTAAAAACATAGATAACGAATATTCCCCTTCCTCGGCAGCTTCATTAAGTTCTTGTATTATATTCCTGTTATATTCTTCGATATCTAAATCATTCATTTTGTTCTTTTATAGTCTTAAACAAAGTTATGCATATGCATATATAGAAATAAATTATAAGTATATTTAATACATACACATTTATTAATATATATATATATATATATATAGGTGTGAATATATATATGGGTAAATATATATGTCTAAATATATACGTGTGAATATATATGTGTATATGTTATTCTTATAATTTATACATTTACAAGAATATTAAAAACAACAAAATATACATATATATGTAGAACACACTTAAAAGTTTTTATTTATTAAACATTCTCTCTTTTTTTAAAATAGCTCATCATATTTTGGGGAAATTAAAAGAATTCATTTCAAAAAAAAAAAAAAAAAAAAAAAATTTCAAGTATACCGTTTTTAATAAAAATATTGAAATGTGTTATGTTGTGTAATACTTAATATATATATATATATATTTATTTATTTATTTATTTGTTAATTTGTTTTTGTTTTTTTTTAAATACACAATTATTATTATAATAATAAAAATAAAGTTAAAAAAATAAAATAATACATACATATATATATATATATATATATATATATATATATATAAACAAAGAGTAAAATAAGAGAATATAAAAAATATGATTAATAAATATATTAATAATTAATCACATATATATGTATAATAATATATGTGTGTATAACATTATTTATTATTTATTACTTTTTATTTTTTTTTTTTTTTCTACTTTTTTTTTTTTTCTCATGCTCACTAAATAAATTCCGCTCTTTTACAGCCCTTATATAAGACTGAATTAATACAGCAGCTTCGTTGTTCATATTATTTTTTTTTTGAATTATCATGTTTCTTTTTTCAGTTAGTTCATGTAAAAAACATCTTTCACTTTCTTCATTTTGTTTTCTCAAAAGTATACTGTCTAAATCTTTTTCTGTTATTT